CGGCCTCACGCGCTCCCCTCTCCGGTCCGGGGCGCGAGGGGCGGCGGCTTCTATCAGCGGCTTCATCCTTCTCTCTGCCCACGGCACTTGAAGGGACTAGACGGCCCAGCATCCTTGCCCGACGGCCGTGTAATGGGTGCGGTTCTCGTCCGGACTGCGGGTCCGGCACTATGGCGGCACGGGAGTCCCTCTATGCACCCCTCCCGGACCCATGAGGACACCAGCGTGCATGCACGGGGAAGAGACCGGTCTCCCGAGGAGAGGCACGCTCGTCATTTAAACAGCGGCGGTGATGAGGCTCCATTCGGTTCAGGTGTGCCCCATCACACGCCGCCAGCCCTGGCTATTTCAGCGCCCCTCCTCTCTCACGCACCCACTCATGTCGGGAGCCTGGCGAAGGGCGGCGATTAAGGGACGGGGTGATGCTGATAATTAGGGGGAGGCAGCCGACTCGTCACAGTGTGTTGATATCCAGCCGAAGAGCAATCAACCATAACTTCAGGCGAGCAGGCTCAGAAGTCGGTTTGAACAATCCGGATAAGCGCAAGTAAGTATCATTTTGATTAGCCGTCGTACCTACAATGACTGTGCACTGTGTAAACAATGAGTAACGTATGAGAGATCACTTCCGGCGCTTGCGTAACCTCGTAAACTACGCCAGAGCGCGTACACACCTCACGCACCGGAAGCCGTGCGCGTGCTCAAAGCAGTTGGACATAGTGGTGAATTAGAGGTAAAAAAATTATATAAATACTGTTCGGTTTCTCGCACAAACCGATCGTTTCGTGTGTTAGGACATCAATGTGTCGTCACGAGCCGCAGGGTTTAATTTGGATTTGTGTGTGCATGTTTTTTTTACACTCATAGACTTTGTTACCATTGCCATCCATTATAAGACTGATAGACTCCAACGGTTGGACTTAAAAATCATCAAATGTGTTCTACTGAAGAAACAAAGTCACCTACATATTGGATGGCCTGGGAGTAAGCAGATAAACAATCAAATGAAATCAAATTTTCATTTTTGGGTGAACTATCCCTTTAATTTTGATTTCACGGGGACTTTAAGAACTCTCCTTCCATAAATGTTGCGTCTTAAAGTGAAACTCCTACAAATGTATATGCAGTAAGGTCAGCCCTCCAAAATAACCATCCACAATTTTCTTCACAAATTTTTCACTGCACGTCTTTAGTAAATCCTGATATTATAATTTTTTTTAAAGGCAAAAAAGGGTTTAGACTGGCACAAGCTGTCGCAGCCTGCGTTGTCCTGGTCCTGTTCTCCCAATATAATTTCCCATACTCTTTCTACTGTAACAGAGAGAGAGAGAGAGAGAGAGAGAAGAGAGAATTGTAGTTAAAGTTTGTATAACTTGCATTACATATTTCATTCATACAGTTGAGCCAAAATGTATTCTGTTATTTACTTATGTGTCCCTTTTGTTGTCCTGGTCCGTTCTCCTTATAATTTCCTGTACTATTTTTACTGTAATTAAAAAAATGTAAACATGTTTATATCATATTTGTTACTTAAAATGATACTTTTCAAACACTTGTATAATATATTTCTCGTAACAGTGCTGTCAATGCATTGCTTAAAGGGTAAGTTCACCCAAAAATGAAAACTGTCATTTACCTGTATGACTTTTTCTTCAGCAAAACATAAAAGAAGACGTGTGCGTGTGTGTTTTACTTTATTTAATGTAATGTTATTTTGGACACCAACTTTCATTTTATGGACAAAAACAGCTGAAACATTCTTCAAAATATCTTCTTTTGTGTTCTGCAAAAGAAAGGAAGTCATACAGGTTTGGAATGAGGGTAAGTAATGACAGAATCGTAATTCTTGTCTGAAACTATGCCCTCTACGTATATCAGATTTCACCCAAAAAAAAAAAAACAAGTTCAGAAGCAACATGGTCTCAAAGAAAGCATTTAGAATTGTGAGTGTGCATTACACATGTTGAGAGCCGCGACAGGAGCTCACCAATAAATGCCTCCCTGCCAGTCAGGCTCATTTAATACTGCATGCACTGCTAAATACCTCCCCCATCACTCTTTCTCAGTCCCACACACACATAGTGCAGTTTACAGGCTCTTCACAGAGACAATATGTACAAGCTGAGGAAAAAATAGAGGAAGGGAGATAGAGGGAATGGAAGAGAGAAAGAGCGTCTGAGAGGAAATACTATTATGTAAATGCGGCTGCGGGTTGGGGTGAAATTATTTTGGTGTCGCGCGATTAGGGGCCTCATCTGTTATTGATGTGAGCGGAGAGGAGAGCCATTACAGAGAGGCTGTGTCAAAAATGACCCCCGAGAAAACTGTGACCCCAGAGAGAAATCCAGAGAGCAAGGAATACAGTTGAAATGGAATTCCAGTGAGTTTCAGATAGTGCTTGTTATTTAGTCAAAATCAATAATAGTCTTTTTTTGTTGTTGTTGTTTTTCTCTTTTACTCTGTTTTTCTTCGTTTCATCTCAATTTATTTTACAAACTCCATTCCTGTACACATTTTCACATTCTCTCTTTCAATATCTGGCTTCTCTCCAATCTTTGCCCCAGCTGTGGTGTGTGCGAGTGTGTGCTGCGTCTATATGTGAAATGTGTGTGTGCATCATGGGTGCTGATGGGTTGCGTAGCTTCAGAATTGACAACACTTACAGGCTAAAATGAGAATCATCCATCTTCACTAGGCTGCTGTCAGAGGCAGGGCCAAACTTCATAATCCCCAATTACTAGCGCTAACCTCCCCATCTACATACACACATGATGAGGGGGCGGGTGCGAGCTGCATAAACAGAGAGGAAATGCCTCAGACTGAAACAGAGAAACAGACAGTGGAAAGGAGTCAGGGATAGAGAGAGAGAGAGAGAGAGAGAGGGAGGAAGTGGACGGTGTGAGCTGTGATTGGTAAGGTCACAGTCTACTGCCCTCGCCGTGGTGATGAGCACTGAGGTGTTTAAGGGGTCACTGGGATACACACATACATTCATACACAAACACTAACAAACACCCTGCTTACACTGTGTATTAGATAGGGATTTAAAAGTTGTGGTTTTTCAGTTCAGTAATTTTAGTATCTAGAATTACAGATTTATCCACAATTCTTTTAGTACTTTAGACGAACCTCCCTGTCTCAATAATCTGGGCTAACTACATACAAACAAACAAACAAATAAGTCAGTTTTCTTGCAGTTGAAATGGGATGTGTGCAATAGATAAATAGATAGATAGATAGATAGATAGATAGATATAGATAGATAGATAGATAGATAGATAGATAGATAGATAGATAGATAGATAGATAGATAGATAGATAGATAGATAGAGGGCTTTAGTTTTACAATTGTTCAAAGGTAGTTGGTAAGATTTCTTTAAATGTTTTTGAAAGAAGAAATCTATTATGCTCACCAAGGTTGCATTTATTTGATAAAAAATACAGTAAAAACAGTAATATTGTGAAATATTATTACATTCTTAGTAATTATTCTCAATTATTATATTATTAATTCTTACGAAATCATTCTAATTTTCTGATTTGGTGCTCAAGAAACAAAACAAAAAACATTTTTGTGGGCTTGTGGCAACCACATGTGATGACCCCGGGCTGGACTCTGCTTCAGATCTTCCCACATCGTGACGTAGATATGTTGGGGCGTGTTAGAATGAGCCATTTTAGGTAGGTGTGGTTGACTCTTAACTTTTATAAAGAATATCTCTTTGGATTTGAGACTTTAGTCTTTGCAACTTTATAGATCTTCTTTATGCACCAAGAGCTTGTAACACTCCAAAGAGAAAAGGAAAATTGAAATCGCATCATATAACCCCTTTAAGCTGGTACTGCACATTTTATTCCCAGTGTTAGAGTACTTTTACACTTTTTTACACATTTATGCATAGTAAAGGCAACAATCTTTAAAAAGCTAAATTAAATATTAATAATGTCAGATTATGTAAATGTTACCTTTTTTATTTTTTCCATTTTATTGATTTATTTTTTTTTATTATTTATTTATATTTTGATATTTATATTTTGATGAATGTCACCATACATCAGTTTGAGAACTTTTGCATTAGCATATATGTGGTAATTTTGATGTCACTGAGTCTTTTTCTTTTTTTTTTACATGTAAATGCAGTTTATTATAACTATAACTTTATAACTTTAACTATAACTTTATTTATTATAACTATAACTTTCATATCTTTAAATACAGAACATCATATGGACAACTAGTCAGTAATTATGCAGATTTAAAAGCTGAACATGTGCTTGGCTTAAGTGGGATATGACGAAAGCAATGAATTGTGGTTCATTAAAGAGTCACTTTGACAGATTCAGTGAGTGTCTGCAAAATTGTAAATGTGTAACTTTTAGGAGTACAAATATAGATGGACAGACACGGACCAAAATCCACAAAACTCTTCCTGAAATCAAATTATGTGGTTCTAGTAGTTTTTGTTTTTTTAATGGAACCCATTCTGAGTGGACAGAGAGGATTAGTATGCCCAGTAAAAAAGCACAAGCTTAGTTGCAGCTTAACATTTATTTACAGATATGTTAACATGGATGGTAATAGCTTGTAATGACGTAACTGTACGGTAACAGCAGGGGCAGGTGTACTATTGTTGGGGTTTAATTCACTCCTAATCAGGGTTATTAATAACCTCCTCCTGGACTAAAACAGAAGTGACATCCACTTCCCAAACTCTGCCATCAAACCACATCCACACCTGAGTGACAAACCCCATTACCGCCAATGGAGATGAATCACTGTGGGTGTGGGACAGAGATCATTGTAAGTAATTGCTCATGAAAGCACACAAACGGGGTCAGTCTGAGGTCGGCCACATACATCACCTGGATCTATGCCACCACTTCTCATTAGTGTTGACTACATACCTGTGTGCCATTCACAAACACATGATGAGGGTTAACATGCATTTCATGAAGTTGATTTTCTTCCATTGTAGCCATCTAATGAAATCTCTCTCCAGACATCTGATTACTCGGCTATGGCGTCTTTGGCTGGCGGACTGGAGGAGATGAAGAACAGCCTGGCCAATCAGACGGGAGCAGAACTGGGTTCCACTGTTGCAGGGCCTCAATCGTATCCACTTGTGTCTGGTAAGCAAACTACCTATATGTTAAAAACACACACATACACAATTTCACTTTCACTGTGGAGTTTTCCCAGACTCATTCCACCCAAGTCCAAATTGTGAGAGAAAATGTTGTAAAAATGATAAAAATAAGAAAATAACCTATTTATTTTTTTTTAATTCAGACTACAGAGAAACAAAAACAGAATTGCAAGATATAAACTTGCAATTACGAGAAAAAAGTCAGAATTGTGAAATAAAAAGTGACAATTACCTTTTTTAGTTTGTATTTTTTTATTCTGTGACAGAAACAAGCTTTGTTTAGTAGATAAAAAGCTAAAAAAGCTTGTTTTGTTTAGTGGATAAAAAAAATGTAAGGCTTAAATTATTCAAAAAACACAGAAATGGAAATGTTGGAACTGGAAATAAACAGCAGACACTTTTGTCTAAGATTTGCCAGGCTTCTTTTGTATTATAGCTGTGTTAAACATGTATTAGAACCACCTGATTGTGGATCAGCTTGCTGTGGGCAGCTCAGAGGTGAGATGAGAGTGTTATCAGACCTGTTAAACAGTGCTCAGTGATTCAGATTCACACTCTATATCCTAAGGGACAGAGGGAGTGGATGGAGACCTGTAATTACTATATACACGTCTCGTTCTCTCCCTTACTGGCTCACTCCATTTGGGAGTAAGGGAGCGCTAATTAAGAGCTGCTTGGACAGGAGCCCTAACGAGGGAATCATGGAATTGGGATTTGTGGACCATCTGACAAGGTAGAGCGAAACCTGTATGTCTAGACTGTGTTTGTGCTTGTGTGCACGCGTGTGTGTGTGTGTGTGGAAGGAGAGAAAGCCAGAATGAATTACAAACAGAGCTTGCCTCATAATGGACCATGTGAAAAGACAATGGGACGGGTACCTCTTGTTTGCATAATGGCGCCCCCTATTGGTAGAAATGAACATTTTATTTTTACATTTATGATAACTAACAATTTTTTTATCAATTTACAAATGATACATTCAAGCAATGACATTTATACTGGAATGCAGAAAAAAATATTAAAAATATAAAGAGAAACAATTTTTTTTAAATTTTATTTTGGCTATTTTTTATCTCTCTTGTTTAGTTTATAGAAATGTGATGAGATCGAGAAGTGACACAAGTAGCCCCCTCTACTACACATATACCATTTTTTCCCCAATGATTTTATCTCTTTTTTTTTTAGCAAGAAAATATTTTCCTGTCTACCCTCTTTCATTCTTCTCTTTTCTGACAACGTCTCTCAGAGGACTAGGCCTTGTCTGTTCTTCCTCTGAAGAGTCCATCTCTCTCTCTGTCCTTCGCTGTTGCCCTGTCCACTGACCCAGAGTGGATTAGTATCCAGTCTTCACTAATGTCTTCCTGTCACCTAACATGGACAACTCCCTAACATGGCAAACAGCAGAACAGAGAGTGTGAGACTCTGTGCGTCAGGTCTGGACAAATTACATTTGTTTTTAAATGCTAAACATGCATTAATTACCAATATTTTGGTATGTTACTTTTTACATTTTGGCTGCTTCAGGCATTGTTCATTGCTAACATATTGCTGAAAAGCTTATATTTGGTTGTTTATGGCAGGCTCCATTCTGACAACTTACCCCAATGCTTGTGACAGCATGCCCCTTTTTGTATGGTACTTTGAATTTATTGAAAAGGATAGCATCTTCATTTTCAAGGGGGTCCTAAAAACACAAAAACAAAATATTACAACAAACAAAACATGTACACACACAAATATACAAAACAGAAGACATGCTCAACCAATCCCCTACACCCACAGCAGGATTACAATACAAGCAATGTCATATATAAACAGAATCAACCTAATAAAACTTAAAAGCATACACAAATTATTTTGAGATAAAATAAAGATGACCTAAAGCAATAAAGGGAAGTAACAAATCTCAAAGACTGAGGAAGATTATTCCAATCAGAAGGAGTTTTATATTGAAAAGACATATGTGCGTTTTCTCAAAAAATTCTGAGAACAAAAAAGAACAGAAATTGTACATATCTGAATAAGAAAATCTGTATGGAATCAAGTACTGTTTCAAATACCAAGGACAATCAAAATAAAAGTATTTAAAAATAAACAGATAACAATTACATTGTCTTCTTGATTTAGGATGTAACCAATTAAGCATTTCGTACATATAGCAGTGATGAGTACGATATGGACAGCTTAAAATAAATCTTCTCAAGGAGTTGTAAACCACATTAAGAGGCTTCAGATAAGTATCAGAGGTATTTTGATATATGATATCAGCATAATCAATAAGAGATAATATTACCTGAGAAATATTTATTTTTCTAACCTGACGTGTAAAACTATATGGAACAACAAATAAACACAAACAACCGTATGTTCTATTAACAATATAATCAATATGGGGCTTAAAAAATGTCATAATCAAAAGTAATATTCAAATCAAAAGTAAAAGAATGACACCGTCGCGTGCCAAATAGCTGTCACAAATGCTTCTGTGAGGAGCACGGAGTGAGGAACGAGGAGACGTGGAGTAAACTTCTAACAAACAGACTTTAATTAACATCCAATGGAACTAGGAACACACACGTAGTGGGGAAAGACAAACATTCAATACCAGACAAACTCAGAAAGCACAGACTGGACCTTAAATACATGGGGTAATTGACAACACAAACTGGGTCATGGAGCATATGGAGAGGGAAAAACACACAGAATGAGTCCAGGGGCATGACATATCGCCCCTCTCCCGGAAGGCGCGTCCTCGCGCCATAGAACAACAGAGGGGGGGCATGGGAGGGAATTTGGGAGGTGGCTCGGGAGGAGGATGGACACGGGCCGGTAGACAGAGTCCAGGGAGGTGACGATGGAGGGAGGAGCCAGGGAGACGACAGGAAGGACTTGGACCAAGAGGGGCCAAACAAGACCCAGGCCACAACCATGATGGCAACCCACGGTGGAGCTGACAGAGGGAGGACGACGACTCCAGGGGGGCGACCAACGGTGGTGGAGCAGGTGGCGGAGGAGCCCGAGGTGGAGAGGGAGAGCCGATGAGCCAGGGCGACAGGGAGGATCAGGAGGGCCAAGGCGGAGCAGATGGTGCCGGCGACTGACGCGGAGGCAGGGATCCGAAAAGCCGCAGTGGAGCCGGAGCGACAGAGGACCGAGGAGGAGCCGAAGAGATGAAGGAGCCTGACAAAGCCGGAGGGACGAGGAGTGGAGCCCCGAGGCGCAGGATGGTCGACGTCAGACCAAGGCGGAGCCGGAGGGACAAGGGAGCTCGGCGGAGCTAGTGGACTGCCGGGCCACGGCGGAGAGGAGGGAGCTAGGAGCCATGGTGGAGCCGACAGGTCCATAGCCCGAGGCGGAATCCAGGGCTTAGAGGCTGGAGGCGGAGTCAAGGGATACTCCAGCCCCGGCGACGCTAGAGGATGGCAGTCCCGCGGAGCTCGCACCGTGCTGATGGTGGGCTGAGGGCGAAAAGAGGGGCTGCCAGATGACAGCGGTGGAGGAGGCAGGAGAGGGGGGGTGGGTGGGCATTTGTAAGCCTCTGGGCTTTCAGGGCTGAACTCATGAACGGGAGCCCTCCTTGGGCTGAACGTGGGAACTGGAGCCTTCTCTGGGCTAGAAATGGGAACAGGAACTTTCTCTGGGCTAGACATGGGAACAGGAACTTTCTCGGGGCTAAACTCGGGGACTGGAGCCCTCTCTGGGCTAAACTCTGGAACTGGAGCACTCTCTGCGCTAGACTTGGGGAATGGAGCCCTCTCTGGGCTAAACTCTAACAAAAATGGAGGGAACACACGGAGGTTACTGTTTTGGTCTGGTATTCTGTCACAAATGCTACTGTGAGGAGCACAGAGCGATGAATGAGGAGATGTGGAGTAAACTTCTAACAAACAGACTTTAATTAACTCCCAATGGAACTAGGAACACACACGTAGCGGGGAAAGACGAACATTCAATACCAGACAAACTCAAAAAGCACAGACAGGACCTTAAATACATGGGGTAATTGACAACACACACCTGGAAATAATGAAACAATTAACATGGGAAAACTGGGTAATGGAGCACGTGGAGAGGGAAAAACACACAGAATGAGTCCAGGGGCGTGACAATAACATACAGCAAGTCTTCTTTTTATTCAATATAAGCATATTGTTGTGAAACCATTTTTGAACCAAATTAAAATCATATCGTAAAGAATTGTGGATTTGCAACGAATCAGAATTAGTGGTGTAAATAACAGTGTCATCAGCATAAAGATGTACAGAGCAATTTAAGCATATTTGTGATAAATCATTAATAAAAATAGAAAAAAGTAGTGGACCCAGAGTAGAACCTTGAGGAACACCTTTTTCAACAATCGAATAATCAGACTGAAAACCTTGGAATACAACATACTAACACCTGTTGTGCAGATAAGCATTAAACCAAAGAAGAGCATTTCTAGTTAAACCAATGGAAGACAAATTATCGAGAAGAAGTTAATGATTGACCATATCAAAAGCCTTTGAAAGATCGATGAAAATGTCACTTGTGGCTTGGCCTTTGTCAATGGATGAGAACACACCATTTGTGAATTTTAAAAGGGCAGTAGTAGTAGAAAAGTTGGGTCTGAAACCAGACTGAAATGGCAATAGAGTATTTGGTGACCTAATATAAAGAGATAATTGTTTAAAAATAAGTTTCTCAAAACTTTTTGTAATAGAACAAATAATAGAAATTGGACGATAATTGTTCACATCAGATGAATCTCCACCTTTGAACAGAGGAATACCGCTTGCACATTTCCATATAGAAAGAACAGAAGTTGTTGATGAAGACAAACAAAAAATACAAAGTATATTAAGTAATATCACTGCAATTTGGCCAAAGGCATAATATTTGAAATATTGCATGATTGCGTGTATGACATTTCTTTTATACAAGTCCTTGGCAAGAACCGTCATACTGTACAATCAGATAAAACTTTAGTCTTTTCTTTAAAAAAATAAAAAAAATAAAATAAATAAATAAATAAATAAAAAATAGAACAAATAATAGAAATTGGACGATAATTGTTCACATCAGATGAATCTCCACCTTTGAACAGAGGAATACCGCTTGCACATTTCCATATAGAAAGAACAGAAGTTGTTGATGAAGACAAACAAAAAATACAAAGTATATTAAGTAAAATCTCTTCAATTTGGCCAAAGGCATAATATTTGAAATATTGCATGATTGCGTGTATGACATTTCTTTTATACAAGTCCTTGGCAAGAACCGTCATACTGTACAATCAGATAAAATTTTTGTCTTTTCTTTAAAAAAAAAAAAATATAAAAAATAAATAAATAAATAAATAAAAATATGTATTATATGTAGATAGTGTTACATTCTAATTGAATTTTAAAAGGGCAGTAGTAGTAGAAAAGTTGGGTCTGAAACCAGACTGAAATGGCAATAGAGTATTTGGTGACCTAATATAAAGAGATAATTGTTTAAAAATAAGTTTCTCAAAACTTTTTGTAATAGAACAAATAATAGAAATTGGACGATAATTGTTCACATCAGATGAATCTCCACCTTTGAACAGAGGAATACCGCTTGCACATTTCCATATAGAAAGAACAGAAGTTGTTGATGAAGACAAACAAAAAATACAAAGTATATTAAGTAATATCACTGCAATTTGGCCAAAGGCATAATATTTGAAATATTGCATGATTGCGTGTATGACATTTCTTTTATACAACAAGAACCCAAGAACCGTCATACTGTACAATCAGATAAAACTTTAGTCTTTTCTTTAAAAAAATAAAAAAAATAAAATAAATAAATAAATAAATAAAAATATGTATTATATGTAGATAGTGTTACATTCTAATGTTTAATATTTGAAACAACCCAATATATATATTAAACTTAATAAATTGAATAAATCTTAGTATTGAGAATTTAAGTTGTGTGTTATGCTAACTTTAAGAAGTTATTTACAATAATTTTTAAGAACATTATTTTCATGAATTTTAAATATTCTCAAGTTTAGTCTTTAGAACAATCGATAAGAACATTCTGGTTCTTAGAGTGTTTTTGGGAATACAAAATATTTGTACCTTTACACTTAGTTTAGAAAATAAGAAAGATAAGAATTTTTTGTGAATCAGCACGAATTAAGTGAATGATTCAATCACTTGTTTGACACAATGGCAACATTCATTGTGTTTTTCCTGAATGAATTAGCACTTTTGAATAAATCCATTGATTCACTCAAAGACACTTGCTGTTTTCTGTGTATATATTTATAATACTTTTTGACTGATATGTGACCTATGACCACTCAGATCTCATTTGCTTTATACCTGCAAACATAGAATCTGCAACTACTGAATAATGTGTTTATCCAAAGGTCATATAGTAGTCATGTTGCACAACAGTTTCCCTTTCCATACTTTACCCTTCTTTCAATCTCCGTCCCTGAGTTATTCTTCACCTTGCCTCTGTCTCTTACACCTTCTTTCATCTTCTCTATTACCCTTTTTAATCTCTGATAAAGTATTCAGTTTCCCTCCTTGCCCCCTCCCCCTCAAAGGCCCTACGGAGGCTTAAACGGTGCCTGTGTTGAAGGGGATGGATGAACTGAGTGTGATGGTGTTTATTATGATGAATGGGCTGCAGTCTACAGATCAGCACCATGTGCAGACTGAGAGATGATTCACTCTGACAGCCATGTCATGTAGCCTAATACAGTTATACATCCATATAACAGAGAGAGAGAGGAGAGATAAAGCGAGAAATAATTAAATTTAGAAACTGCCCAATGATCACTGTGAAATGGACAAGTTAAATCTCTCATTAATATTATTATTAATCCATCCTTGTTTGTTTTTAATGAACTCTAATCGACAATCTATAAGGTACTGACTGTTGTCACATGCAGGTCAGTTACCTGTGCCTAAAGATATAATTATTTTAAACTTTAACTTCACTGACCTGATTTTCTTGTTAGTTCCTATGAATATGCCCCTTTCTTTAGTGAATCAGGCCTGAGGGAGACAGGGGCATGTATGTTGTACACTAACAGTAGAGACTACCAGATCCTGTCATACATCAGTGCATAATTATACCAAAGGCCCTATTACTGGGGCAAAGGCAGATTTGTGATCTGACATAAAGTGAGATGGCTGTATTAATCGGGATAGTTAAACAGGATGTCGCTAGTTTACCAAGCTCATAAGATGTCACTTATCTGATTTAATAAGCTACAGCATAGATCCATGCTTCATTCACTTTGCAATGTGAACACTTTCTGTCAGCTTTAAAAATCACACTAGCCTTTAATTGAAAATTTGTTAGTAAGGGTGCATAAATGTAAGATGTAAAATGTAAAAATGTAAGCATAATTATTAAAAAACTGTTAAATAATAACTATTAAAACTAGATATTTACATTCTCAGAACGTTCTGGGAACCACAAAAATTGTTAGCTGGGTTACTGCAATGATTCATTCTGTATTAATTCGCAAATTGCCAGTTCTGATTCTAAACGGACAGAAAACACACATGACATGAATGCTGAAATATTGTCAGGAAAATGATTCTCAGGTCTCAGATCTAATCTCAATTGTTAGTCAGTCAGTGATATTAGTAATATTTTAATGTATCATTAATAGTGTAGTGTAGAAATACTGAGACACTATTTCACTAAAGTCTAGCGATGCACCTGGTGGTAAGGATTTTTAAGTGTTCTGCAGATTACATTGAAACGCTAATAGCTGGTGACAAGTGAATCACTTTAAAAGTGATTAATTAAACAATGTATTATAGAGGTTTCAGAGGTTTATAGAGGCTTCTTTTTCTAACTTTTTTCATATGTTGAACAAAAATAGACAAAGCAAATGGTAATACTACCATCTAAAATGTAAATATTTCTTGTTTATTAAACTATATAAAAGCAAATATCGCACTTGTGCTGGGAGTCTGACTACCAGCTGAATCAAATCTGTGCTTTATTATTTGCCATTGTTTTATTTATTTCCATATAGAAACTCAGGACACACTTATGTGTTGACATCACTATAGGACATTTTTCAGTTTTAACCTGGTTGTTAAATCTGACGTCACATGTCGCCATTTCCATATCCAAACACTCAATCAGATCTCAAAAACCAACATTAAATGGTGCTATAGTGCACACCACAGCACCACAGTGCTGTAGTGCAACCAAAAATGATACTAACCTTTATCTCCATAGCAAAATCTTAGTTGGCCAGACAGTGATTATTTATTAAAAATGTTAAAATATTGGTGTCTGAGACACTGTATTTTTTTAAAGCATAGTTGAGATCTTGGAGTAAAGATTTGGACCCTCAAACATTCTCACAACTTAACAAGCCGATAAAAAGGTTAAAGCCTAGTTTATGGAACAATTATAGATGAAATTGCTTCTTAAGGGATTGTGGTGATTGGAATGAGTCACTGAGAAGTCAGATCAATAAACTCTTCCCTATGGAGTTGATCCTATTCATGCTAGAAATGCTCTTTTTATCTTTACAGGTCGCGACCTGGCCAGCACCACACTCCCTGGTTACCCTCCTCATGTTCCTCCAACTGGGCAGGGTAGTTACTCCACACCCTCCCTCACAGGGATGGTACCTGGTGAGTCTCACTTGCATATATGCATGTCAATCAATTGTTAACTCCATCTACACAAACTTCACATACACAGAAACAACTATTTTAAGTTCCCATCATACTAGGTTGAGTTCTTTAGATTCTTTTTGGCATATTTCTATGAAAATAACAGATAGGCTAATTTTCATATATGTGCCACCCTCATTTATTCTCTCTCATCCTCTTCCGCTCGTCCTGCTGTAGTCACTCTCCCAATACCCCCTTTTCACCTCTGCTTTATTTCAGTTGAGGTCCCAGTGGGAGGGGGTCTTGTCTTTGCCACTTCCTGTCTCCCCCCATCTGCCAGGTTGACAGCACTCCCAGGGGGTTATGGGATGGGAAAGGGTGGGGGGTGTTGGGTGGTTGGCAGAGTGTGGGGCGGGTGGACTGGCTGAGTTGAACTTATTTTTTAATGTTTATTAGAATGCATTTCTGAAAGAAGATGATGCACAATATGATTCACAATACACACAAAAAAGTAGAATATACAGTATATGGATCCACAATCTGGTTATCAGTGGATATCTGCGTTTAAAAAAAAAAAAGTATTATTATTATGCATTATTGGCTGCTAAATGATAGTTTAAATCTTAAATGCAACAATAAAAAATGCTTTAATAAGTTATATCTCTGGACCAAAACAGTTGACAGATGAATGTGATAATTTGTTGTTGCGATGAGCGCAACAGATTTATTTACCTCAGAAAGTACATGGATTGTATTTCATACCGCATTTTTATTCATCTTGATTTTTCACAACTTGTGTGAAGCATAGGAAAATGGAAAATGTACTGGTAATTTTCTGCCAGGATATTATGCTAAAGTTTACAGACATCTATTTTAACCCTACAATACAACACAATGCAATGTGTGATTTAAAATATGCGGAAAATGCCTATGAAAAATCTATTTGAAAAATAGCTTTATATTAACACTACACTGTGCTTTATCTTTACGGACTTTCCTTACTTTAATCAACTACTATTCTTGTTAAATGTGGCTTACCAACTAGCAAAATTATAACTATGATGAAAAAAGCAAAACTTGAAGGAGGGATTTGCTTGCTTAGCTTCAGTATCAAGTGCAAGGTAACACAAGTGGATACAAGTGGAAACTCTAGTGTGACAAGACAAATAGAGTGGTATAAAAAAGCAAGAACTGTGGGTTGAAGGACTGTTCACCAACCCTTGTATCAACTCCCTGAACACAGCAAAACAAACCCAAGCCAAAACAACAACAACAACAACAACATGTCTCTTGTCGTGTCTCCAGTCTGTCACGCTGGTGTCTCTTTCGATGCTCTCCCCGGTTGCCACCATGACTCAAAGGGTCTTGTCGGGTCCCCTCTCTTCAGAGCAAGATCTGTAACCTTGTCTCGTATTTCCCTCCAACTGAATCACCCATGTTTCCCCCACTTCTGACAAGCATTTATGACCTTGCAACCCATCTCTCTCGCTAGACCCCAACCCTCTTTTCTTCTCCATCCATAAGTCATTCCCTGCACTTTCACCAGCATCTTCCCAAAACAACCTGACATGTGGTAGTCGCTGTGGTGCGCAGAGTTGACGGAGGGGAGGTAACCATGCCAACGATCCCATCTAAAAGCATGCTGAAGGTTAAGGGTAGGAGCAAAGCTCCAGACATGCACTTTAGATTATCCTACTTCATTTACCTTCAACTATTGCCATTTTTTCAATTGTCTGTTTTTATGATGATACATGGGAATGTACTAAGTTCAGCATAAAATATAAAAATGAAAAACACTTCAAGCTTTACTCTGACAGCAAATATTTAATGAATCATGTTGCATTAATGTATCCATATTATTTTATATAATATACAGTATGCATGAACATTTTTATATCCATTATATACTAGATATGAAATAATGTAAAATTACATAAAATATAAAGTTAATTTTTAATTTGACAACTCAAAGCTAAAAGTGATAAATGCCACACTACTGTTCAAAAGGTTTGGGTTAACACTTTTTTTTGGGTCTGAATACTTTCCGTACCCACTGTATATATATATATATGGATTAAAACATTTCCACTGTAGATTCAGAATCTTTTAGGATGTAAAACATGAATGTAATTAAGAAGAATGTAATTGATGAATGTAATTACATGAATGTAATTATTAAGAATTTAATAATTTTTATAATACAATTCATAGTAGTAAATTATATTTACCTACATACAATTAATTGCTGATTCAGAGTGTTTACCTGATTTAGGGGCCGATTACACGACAACGTTTTTGGCCAAAAACGGGGAAAACATTTTTTGGGGACTGAAAACGCATATTTTTGAAAACGGGTTTCAAAGTGCAAGTTTTTGAAAACGCCATGGTTGTCGTTTCCGTGTAAACACATACGGGAATCTTTGAAAACGGTGATGTCATGCGCATGCGTAGTACGTGTTAGGTATGTAGACATGTGCAGTACGTGTCGATTTTAAAGGCAAGCGCGAACAAACATACACAACAATGGCAGAGTACATGGTACTGTTGTTGCTGCTCAAGAGTTGGCTAACGCTTCTTCAGCAAAGTGTGGATTTTTTTTTGATTGCAGTTTTTAGAACAAAGAACATATAAGGGCAATAACATTTAAACTGAATGAAAACAAATACTTAAAATAGATAAATAAATACAAATTAAATAAGAAAAGCAATAAAAAAAATCTCATGTCTGTAAACAAGTACAAATAATTACAAATTATTCAAAGAATAGATTTAAGGCTTTAAAGTAATTTACAGTTTTTTTGCTTTGTTATTTCTTGTTTCTTTTAACATTTACAGGTAGTGAGCTATTTCTATTTTGAAATGAGTAAAATTAGTTTATTCACTGTCCATTTACATTTGTGAATAAATAATTTTCCATATAAAATGAGTAAATTCACAATATACCAAATTTTGAAGTCAACAGTATATTCATAAAAAAATAAAACATCCTTTGCTTTGAGTTGCAATTCAGTGTTAATACTTTGTTTAACAAAAAAAAACAAATCACACCACAATAATTTTGTATAAATACAGTCATAAAATAAATGAACAATACTCTCATTTTCCTCTTTACAGAAAACACACTTCAAGTCAATGTCTTTATAAAACTTTGCAATGATCTGTTTTACAGGATAAATACGATGAACAATCTTGTATGATATTTCTCTAATTTTATTTGTGATACAAAAACGTCTGGAGATCTTAAAGGTTTCTTTCCAGTTGACATCTTGAAATTGTGATCTCCAAAAACCAATGGCTAAAGGAACACTGCAAATGATTTACTTCACCAATATTACAACCAACAGTGGAGACACATCATATACATCATATACATCATATAATCGTCACTTCCCTACAGGTACTGTTGACTAACAAGGTGACAGCGCCAACTACTGGCCTGGCATACGTAATACAGCGTTTTTGGCCGTTTTCGCGGATATGTATAAACTCGAATCGTTTTGAAAACGTTGTCGTGTATACGGGAAACTTTTTAAAAACGCAAGGGAAAGGTGTGTAAGCGTGGCCTTAGTTAAACATAACGGGTTAACAAAAAATTGAAGTTCAAAGCATAACTGTCTTAATCTGCCTTAATGCTCTCATCTTAGTTGTGAGACAGTATTTATTTCCTGAAAACGCTAGTTAATATTTTTGTATTGAGCTAAAAAAAAACGACTAAATTTGCTCACAAAGGGTATAACAACTTCCCCCAAAATTGATAATTGTAATTTCTTTGGATTTCTTTCCCACATTGTTACACCTGTGGTGTAAAAATTGCTTATACATTTTTCATTATGCTATATTATTACCAAATATTGGATACAATCTTTATGTCAAATGAAATCTTTCAGTTAGCACAGGTTTTGTATTTCTTTTTGGAATTTAATGGTAGTATGTCTCATTGATCTAAGCTTATGCATCTCAGATTTTGAGTGAACATTGTCAAAATTATCCACAAATAATGATTTTTCACTCAAAAACAGTGACATCTTGATATACTTCACACTCTCAAACCCTGTTTTTACAGCAACACAAAAGCTACTTAATCACACTCACATAATCTTTATTTCAAGTGAAGACAAACACACCCATCCGCCACATTTCTCACAATTTCAAACTCTTTAACTCCGGCAACAAAGACTAAGCAGCACAGCTGTCCCTCTACTCTGTTATATCCCTCACTCGTGCCCGCTGTCTCTGTGTAATAAAGAAAAATACTTCCTGCTAAAACTAACTATGATACTAAAGACATTTCATCTTTGAGGGGTCCATCAGCACTTAATGCCAACACAGACTGATCAAGATGGATCATGTGTCTTATAGAGCAGAAATGGTCTTTTCCCTGCAGAATCTGAGCTAATGATGGTGGTGTCATTTCAAATAAGAGGAAGGGCGACTTTATTGTGGGGGACTTGATAAATAAAAAGTACACTGGGCTGTACATCCATCATCCTGTGATCATATTTTCTTGGTAATGAATTAATTGCTTCTTATTTAGCATTTATCTGAATGTGATTTGAGATCAACAGCAGTTCAAGACCATTTTAAGTGGAGGGATAGTTATAAAATAAATACAGTGCTACAAACAGGAGTTCATATGGTTTAAAAACAACAATTTTTTATGCTTAGAAATTAATGCTTTTTATCAAAAGCGACATCAAAAAGACAATGATTATTTGTGATTAATCGCATCCAAAATAAAAGTGTTTGTGTACATAATATATGTGTATACTGTGTATATTTATTATGTATGAATAAAGACATACGCATACAGTATATATTTAGAAAATATTTACATGTATTCACATGTATATATTCATATAATTTATATTATATATAAATATATTTAATCATAGTCATAACATTTTTTCTTATATATATATAAGATATACATGCATATATATAATATATACATGCATGTGTGTGTGTTTATATATACATAATAAATATACACAGTACACCCACATATATTATGTACCCAAAAACATTTATTTTGGATGCGATTAATCGTTGCCCAGCACTAAATGTTAAAAAAGATTTCTATTCCAAATAAATGCTGTTTTTTATTAACTCATAATCATCAAAGAATCTTGAGAAAAATGTAGCAGCACATGATAATAATAATGTTTTTTTGTTTTGTTTTGTTTTTTACCATCAAATCAGCATATTAGAATGATATCTGAAGGATCGTGTGCCACTGATTTTATTGGCTGCTGCCATCACAGGAATAAATTAAATTTTAAAATATATTAAAATAGACAGACAATATTACTATTTTTCACAATATTACTGTTTTATTGTATTTTTGATCAAATAAAAACCGCCTTGACGAGCATAAAAAACTTCTTTTAAAAATATTTTAAAAATCCAGAAATTTTTTCTTCTGTTTTAAAATGAGTATGTGGTGTTTAAATGTGTAACTTAAACTGACTTTCAAAACCTGGATTCATTTAAATTAGTGGTTGATAACAAATTTAGAGGGTCACTGAGGGGCCTAGCTTGCTGACACATGGGCCCCCGGCCTTTAGAATTCTTTCTTCTTAATCTGATGACTGACAGATTTGTTTTTTTCATATCCCTTGTAGGATCTCCATACTACTATAGCGCAGCCACACGGGGAGCAGGAACGGCTGCCACAGCAACTGCCACTGCCTATGACCGCCACTGACCAGCCGGACAGAGGAGAGGAGGAATGGTGGAGGAGTGGGCCAAACAAAAAGAAAAGAGGAGCGAGAACGGATTGATAGCAGCCACACAAGACTGTCTACACTTAGAAGCAAAGAAATGAAGGAGGAGCAGGAAGGAGAAAGGAGAAAGAAGAAAGAAAGAAGAGGTGACAATGTTTTCCTGCCGATTACAATCAATGGTCCAATCAGTAGCTTCAACTGATGTTTCTAATTTCTGTTGATTAGTGGAAAGTATACACCCATTCACCTGTATTCCCTGTGGTCTCGGCTCACACTAAATCTGTTATTGCTTTGATTTATCTTCTGTCATTAAAGCCTTGCTTATCCTATCGTCTTTGCATCTCTATGCAGTCTGTTCTTAGAGATGATCAGGTGTTGGGAGTTGGTACCAGACAATCTACTAGTGGCAGCTTGAGATGACCTACGTACGTGATTTGAGTTCATTTTTGAGTCATTTGATCAAATGTGTGAATGTGGCATCATAATCTGTGGCAGACTTATTGTCTGTTAAAACCATGAATTGTTTCGGAGAGAACCTAACGTATCAAGTCAACAGAGACTTAATAGAGTTGGACAGATAACTCAGGTCGGAATATTGGCATTATTTACATTAAAATTAGCCAGCGTGAAGGACAGACCCATTTCACTATTGATCACGGGATGCTTCCACTTGTAAATGTAGCATAAATACGGTAGAGCTAGGAGAGAATATACTGGAAATCAGCCCTGGTGCATAAGCACAAGAATACTTGAGCCCTCTGTTGTAAACTAGGAACCATTTAGACATAATGGACTCCTTATAAACTGAATTACACGATAAATGGGACTGTTTTGTGATTTGGTCATTGTGTAATATGTTGGAAAATTGCAGCATGATTGAAATGTTTAAGCACTGTCGTTATGAATGAGAGCATCAGTATTTTAAAGACTCCTCTCCTTCCTCTATGTAGATAAATACTATTTACCTTTGTACAGAATACCCTTATTCAACTGTACATTAGTAAGATTTATAGCTATTTATGATGGAGAGTAATATATATAATTGTGTGTAAAAGTTTACTGCGGACAAATGCTACAATGCTACTGCTAGCTAAAGATGTTGCCGTTGAATACATAGCTGGTTCTCTTTTTAACCCCCCGATGTTTCATTCCAAACACAAATCAGTTGCAATTAAAAGAGCTTGCTGGCATTAAGCACTGACAAGCTTTTGTGAAGTTGCTCCATTTTAGAAAGGGAAAACCATTAGCGATGCTACTTCCCCTAACAGGAAGTGAAGTCATACTGTCTGTCCCTTCAAATCGTTTCCTTAGCCTCCCCAAAGATACTCTTCAGTAGTGGAAATAGACTAAGTACAAGCACAAAGTGACAAATCTGTTATCCAGAAATGGCTTTTTTTTGGTCCACGCTCTTTCTCTCTGAGTGCATTTGTTTTTTATTATTCCCTTCATCCATACTGCGCCAAGACAATGCATGAGACCAAGGTGGAGGCCTTACCAAACTCTCTATGTAGCAACATCATGCTGTACATCCTTCCTGTTTGTCTGTCTGAGATATCCTGTACATCTATCACTTACAATGACAAGAGCTTTTGATATCATTATTGACTGATATATTGATATCTAACTTTAGATTTTAGTAGACGAGAAAAGACAAAAAGTGTGCTTTATTTAGCTATTGTCTGTGATGAGTGTTCCCAGTTCTTAATTTTCTTGCTTTTTTTTCAACACACTGTGCATTGCTGAGTAGCTTTCGAAAAAGGAGAACACTGTAGTTTTAGTAGTGAGTCACAAGCACCAAAACTTTGATGTGAAATAAGAAAAAAATGACAAACCTATGAATATATATATATAGAAGTTGATAGTTTTTATGTTGTTGCTCTGGATTGTAAAATAGTAATAGGATTACATTTGTTTGTAGACCATATGTTGCACGTTATGCAACTCTAAAGAAACCCCTGATGCCGTTCACCACTAATGACTACTGGTGAACTTTGACCTTTTAAACTTTTAGTAAGAGGCATTATGAACCTGAAGTACACCAGCTGAAATCAAGGACAGTGCCTTTATTTTTCTACCGAGTCATCCAGAATGACCATGCGTCACTAAATTGCAAAATTGTCTGCATGACGTAACGAGATCACAGCTTGACCAACCAATCAACGAACAGATACTACACTACCCATCATTTTAGCAGCATTTTTTTACAATCTAATTAAAACCCAGCAAACAAAATGGAGGCAAAATATGAAACTGAACCCATTTAACGTCAAGTTAGAAACAATTATCCATTATAAAGCATTGCTCTATTATTTACAATATAAAACTAAAAACTGATTTAATATGGTTCAATAAATGATTTAGTCAAAATTCACATATTCTGAGACCCAACATATCTATGATGGTACATGATGGTAAAATAAACTCCTGATCGTAATTCCATTCTCTTAAAGGGAAAGTTCACCCAAATATATGAACCCTCTGTCATCATTTACTCAACCACATGTCATTCCAATTGGTTTCATTGGACCACACTGACTTTGATTGTACAGACAATAAAAACATAGACAATACATTTTTCAAAATGACATCTTTTGTGTTTCACAGAAGAAGAAGAAAAATGCATACAGGTTTGGAACATTATGAGGGTGATTTTGGGTGAACTATTTCTTCAAGCACTGAGAATGAATATTACATTAACTATAAAGGAATTGTCTTGTCATTCATATATATATATATATATATATATATATATATATATATATATATATATATATATCATATATATATGTA